AAGGTAGATTTCAATGGTAATGTTTATCATATCCACTCATTAAAATGAAGCAAATTTTTATGCTTCTTCCTCAAGTATAAACTCATATTTGTGTGTGTGTGTGTGTGTGTATTTCATACAGAATATCCCAAACAATCTTATTTATCTATATACCTGAATCCCAAATAGCATCCTTCCATAACCTCCCCCGCCCAACTGGAACCCATGTACCCTGTCATCCCTGTTACTGTCCACTGTGTTATCAGTGCCCCCAGCCATTACGCAGTGCTAGTCCATCTGCTGAGTCTAGTCAGCCTATCTAAAGTTCCTTGTTTTAGGAAGATCAGCTCTTCCTCATCTAGGAGCAATCAGTTGCCAACATTCCTTTAGATAACATTGGGGTCTGCTGTTCATTTTCCCAGTTCTATGCTGGGTTACTTACTGTCTGGGAGTCTCTTGGGCCACCCTGGCCAATAACTCAAAGGAAGGTGTCTCCTATCTGGTATTGTTTCTTGTTATGTAGCCTTTAGCTATACACATGGATGCTTAAAGAATCATACTGATCACTTTAATCTTTGGTTATACTTTCCTTTTGGATGTTTAAGACCATACAGTTGGCCATACATATTTTTATTCTTAAGGTCATTTAAGGATCTGTTCCTCAGGGGTCACATGGACTTGGGAGGAGCTCCTGGCTCCTTTCTTTTACCAGTTCCATCTATGTGACAAGTCAAAGGTCTTGCTTGACTGCGGCTGGCTTCACTTGGAAGCATGGAGGAAATGATTCCTCTGTGTTGACCCTCCTCTTTGTAGACTGGACACTGGTTCAAGTCTATCTGGTGGGGTTTTCACGGCCTCTTTGATCAAGAGGACAGGTGACTCACCACAGTTATAGGACATTTTGAGAGATGCTCCATAGTCCCCTGGAGCTTACTTGACCTTGGAGGGCAAGGAACAAAAACTGTCCTTTCTCTGTCTTTTTTTTTGTATGTGTGAGGAATTAAAGATTTGCATTACATCTCCTATGGATAATGTCACTATCGGGATTACAGAGGAGATTCGAGAGAAGAGACTAGTCTGTTTTGTAAACTTGGCTTAATAGGCATATATGATTATCTTAATCTTTAATTTTTGTGTGGGTATATGGTGTGTGTGTGTGTGTGTGGTATTTGTGATGTATGCATGTATATGCCCATGTGACTGATGCCACAGCCCATGTATGATCAGAGGACAGCCAACCTCGGGTGTCAGTCTTTTCTCTCCACCTTGTTTGAGACAGCATCTTGTTTGCTGTTATATACACAGACTAGTAGCCTAAGAGCTTCTAGAGATTCTCCTGTCTCATCCTCCCATCTCTCCATAAGAAGCACTGTGGTTGCAGACATGAGCCACCATTCTCAAAATTTACATGGGCTCTAGGGACTTGGACTGCAGTTCTCATGTTTGCACGGCATTTCCCCAACCCTCTTAGTCTGTTCTTAATCTTATCTATATGGTCTTTTCTTTTGTTTTACAAATTGACCTTTCTAGTCTATCCAAAAGAAGTTGTCTTTAACATGTTCAGACATGCATGGTGGCTCACGTCTGTAATCTCAGAACTTGGAACATGGAAGCAAGAGAATCAGGAGTTCAGGGCCAGGCTTAGTAGCGCCATAGGGAGTTTTAGGCTAGCCTGGGCTACATGAGACCCTATGATTAAAGAAAAAAGGCAATATTTATTCCATATCTGAACCTCTGCCCATGCTTTGCCTTTTGTCCAGAATGTTTGCTTCAGTCCTACCCTCAGGTGCTTGCTCCTTAGCGAAGTCAGTCTGCAACTCATCTCTTGCCTCCTCTTACCTTTGCTCCACATTTGGGATCTTCTGAGCTAGAGATTTGGATTTAAACCATTACAGTGTTTTGCATTTTGCCTATAACATATGTGTCTTAGATTATCATCAAATTATTTGAAGGCAAAGACTGTACCTCTGAAAAGCCTCACTAGTACAGTTTTAGCTCCCAGTCAGTCCTGTTTGAATTGACTTCAGTCTGTTTCAGAAAACTTCCAGTGTCATGGGCAGCAGAGAGTATAATGTCATTCTCTGTAGCTTATGACAGCAAGAAACTCCAGTGCTTAAGGGGCTCTAGATTTCCTAAAGTTTCTCATTTTATGTAGGCGGTTTTTTTTTATTTTATTTTATGAGTAGGTAAACTCCTATTTGGAAATTGAGAACAGTTTTCTAGAAGTTTTGGCTCGTTCCCTTTCTCCTGTTTAGTGTCTTAAATTAGAATTCCTTTTTGATCAGCTAAATCAGATTAATTTTTCTAACATAAATGTTGCATTGTTTGGCCTTATTCCAAATAGACATTTTCTTTCTAAAAAGTATTCCTGGGAATCCCTACATTCTTACTATAAAGTTGGGGTTTTGTTTTGTTTTCTTGAGTTTTTCTAATTCTTAAACAATGAGATATCCCTAAAACATTTATTCACCTATTGAAATAGTCCTTACATTGGTCAAAATGTTCGAATTAAAACAGAATATTAGATACAGCCTATATTTTCACTTTTCAGGTTTGTTACCTTTAATGCCAGCAATCAGAAGACCAAAGCATAGAGGTGCATGCCTTTAATCCCATTGCTGGGGAGGCAGAGGCAGGAGGATCTCACAGAGATCTAGACCAGCCTGGAAGTTATAGGCCAGCTGGGGCTACAGGGAGATGCTGTCTTTAAAAAAAAAAAAAAAAACAAAACATTGACAACATTCTTTTGAGATATGAAAATGTGCGTGGCCTAAATTGGTGCCTCCCTGCTGTTGATCTGTGTGCCACTCAGTTTCACACTGTTGTGACTTGAACTTTATCTTCTGTTCCATCCTCTGGATCTATCTTGTATCCCAGTCGGTGATGTTTGCCAGCAGCATGTTCTGCTTGCTTTCCGGCACCCCACACAGATGGGGGCTTTGTGTAGAGCATTTGTGATTTCAGCCCTAGCCAGGAATGTTCTTCAGCTGAGTTGGGGGAGGAGTTGTGGTTGTTTCCTTCTATTGAGAAGGTGGGGGTTATATGGAGAGGGAGGGAGGGTGGGTGATTTCCCGGAATTTTAACTATTCTGCACAATGAATCTTTTGATTTTTCAGGAACAGGGCGGATACCTGACCAGCTCGTGATTCTAGACATGAAACATGGAGTGGAGGCGAAAAATTATGAAGAGGTATGTACTGCTGAAACAGCTAGGGGAGGGAATAGCACGCCCCACAGCATGTTTCTGTGACCTGGTCAGGCCAGCGGCCACACTGTGTCCAGAATGTTGTCGTTTTCTCAGCAGTCACGTGACAACCAGCTATGATCCTATGATGCAGACAGTTGTATTAACATACTTAAACAGCAATTACAGCTTTGCTTCCAGTCAATGGACTGAACCAGTTATCCTGTACAACTGTTGATATAATAAAGCACTCAGTCACATGTTATTAGGTCTCTGGATAGCTGCTTAGTCCTGAACAGCTATGCTGTCTTTGAGAAACAGCAGTAAAGAATATCTTCCAGTTAAAATCCAGACTTGAAGAAAGCAGCCAGCTGGAGCTACAGGGAGACCCTGTCTCAAAAAGACCAAAAAAAGAAGAAAACAGACTAGAACAAAGAGCTGCAAGGGACTAGGGAGAGTAATAATAAATAGAAATTTGAATGGGGCTGTGGTGGTTTACACCTATGATCCCAGCACTTGGGAGGCAGAAGTGGGAGGATCAGCACAGGTTTGTGGTCAGCCATAGCTAACACAAGTTCTAGGTCAACCTAGGCTAGCAAGACTGTTTTAAAAGAACCAAAAGAAAAAAAAGAAATTTATGCTGACAGGAAGTATTATTTTTTATCTTTTTGAGACAGCATCTCCCTATAGCCCCAGCTGGCCTATAACTTCCTATATAGATCAGGCTGGCCTTGAACTCAACGAGATCCTCCTGCCTCTGCCTCCTGAGCACTGGGATTAAAGGCATGCACCTCCACGCTTGGCTTAGAAGTGTTAAGAACGATGAACAGATGTGTTGCTTTGTCTTTGGTCAGGACTTTGGAAGGAAAATGTCCTAACATGGAAGAAGATTGGAAGTGACTGGCCATTTATGCAACAGGAAGTGATGGCATAATAAGTGTAACTCTTTAGTTCTTCCCCCTTTTCCCTTGTTCAAGTGCTCAGTTGAATGAAACCAGAGTTATTTGGAAGCAGTAGATCAGAGCAAGTGATAGATACAGTGGTAAATGGAGGACAGTGTCCAATAGAGACCTTGAACTGCTTGTATCAGCAGGAAATGAGCAGGAAAAAAGAAAAAAAAGCTGGAAAAGCCTCTATTTGATGAGTTTAAGAGTGAAATCTTTGCCTGGCACACACCTTTATTCCCAGCACTTGGGAGACAGGAGGGTCAACCAGGGATACATGAGGCCCTGTCTCAAAAAAAAACAAAAACTGAAATCTTTTTAACACTTCAAGATTAATAAGAATCATAATTATATCTAAATAAGGTAGTGTGTGTTAAACTGCTATTGTGAGACATTAAACACTAAGAAAAATTAGCTATTTTTTATATAATTTTTTATTCTTTGAGAATTTTATATGTGTATACAATGTATTTTGATTGTATCCACCCTTACTTTCCTCCTCTCCAACTCCCCACAACATGTCCCTCAACTTAATTGCCTCCTTTTTATGACTCACTGAGTCCAGTTAGTGCTGCCCTGATTCGCATGGGTGTAGGGCCATCCACTAGAACATGACAATCTACCAGTGGCCACAAGCCGAAAGAAAAATGAGTTTCTTTTTCCTGGCAGCCATCAACTGCCAATAATTCCTCAGCTATTGGTGGGGGCTGGTGAGCCCCTCCCTCATCTGTCCTGGATTTTTTTTATTATTTTTATTTTATGTATGAAAGTTTACCCGTGTTGTGCAATGCCCACGGAGGTCAGAAGAGGGCATCGGATCCCCTGAACTGGTGTTACGGACAGTTATTAGCCACCATATAGGTGCTGGGAATTAAACCTGGGTCCTCTGCAAAAACAGTCAGTGCTCTTAACCACTGAGCCATCTCTCTACCATGCTGGAATTTTTAACTGGCTTGATCTTGTACAGGTCTTATATAGGTAACCACAGCTGCAATGAGTTCATGTATGCAAAGACCATGTCATTTCACAGCACTCCTCCCCATCCCCCAACTCTTACAGTCTTTCCAACCCCTTCCTCAGTTGTTCACTAAGCCTTGAAAGAGTTGAAAATGTAGCTGTTTTGAATTATAAGAATAGGTTCAGTGATTTCAGTGCATTGTTACTGCTGCCATTTCCACCCAAAGATCATTCTCTTAAACAGGCATTCATTGCATCTTACTGTATGAATTTTACCCAATGTACCTTTGTTCTAGCATTAAGGCATATGTATTAAATGGCAGGGTACCTGATGCTGTTTTAAACTTGAGACCTATTTTGTTCCCCTCCACAGCAGTTGGCATTATTGTAGCTTTATGTAAAGAATGATGTGGATACTACTGTCATACCACATTTTAGAACCCTATACTTACCAATATTCTAGTTATCCTTAAGTGTTACTAACACTGAAAAAGGAGTTTTTATCTTTTTTGACCTTCTGCTTAACCCAAGAGGGGAATCCCTAACAAAAAGGAACTACATTGCTTCCTTTGCCTGCTTCCTGCTTTGGCTGTCTGGCACGTCCTAAGCTTTTTACGCACATGGTTACAACACAGTTCTAAGGTTCTGCTTCCTAACCAAGAACTCCTCCACACTACTTTCTTTAGCAGCTCCCTCCACCCAGGCCCCAACAGCAGACCAGATTGAGGCAGAAGAAGCAGAGTAGTTATGACAGACCAAAGATCAGTTCTTTCCTGGGTCTATTAGACTCCTTAGACCTTAGAAATAGCTGTTAGTTGTCCTGAGTTCATAATACCTGCATAATAGAAGCACTTTGTTCTGCAGTTAATTGCCAGAGAGCACTGAACATATGTAGAGCTTTTGAGACATTAATTTTAGGCCCTAGAGATAATGAAGACCCTTAATCGGAAAAAGATTTAGACTATTTGGCATCAGGAGGGCACAAATTTCTTCAGTTTTCTTCTCATCTAATGCATCTCTCCCTCAAGAATGTGGACTCAATTTTGAAATCCTTTGTTGTGCTAAAAGATTCAATAGTAATTAGTGGCCTTGTTGTTTGAGACAGGATCTCACCGTATAGCCCAGGCTGATCTGGAACTCACTATGTAGCCCAGGCTGACCTGGAACTAGCAGTTCCTCCAACCTCAGCCTCCCAAATCCTGGGATTACAGGCATGTACTATCACATCCAGTATCTTCATAGTGGGGCAGAATAGCCCATTGACTTATCTAAAATGTTAATGGGGGAATTTAATTAGTAAAATTGCTACATGGACTTAATACAAATATGAGATGATATTTGAACAACAGAGTACTTGCTATAATGTAGAGAAGTATAACGTACTTAATTTATGAAATTATTAATATTAATTAAGGCCTTTTGGGGGGGGTCTTTTGAGACTGAGTCTCCCTGGAACTCACTGTGTAGACCAGCTGGCCTCAAACTCACAGAGATCCACCTGCCTCTGCCTCCTGAGTGCTGGAATCAAAGGCGTGTACCACCATACCTGGCTGGTTCACTTACATTTTAAGGATTTCTTCCACTGCCTTGCTTTTTCCTTTTTGATGAGGACATGTTTCAGATTCAGTATGTGAATCTAGCTTTATTTATTATTTATTTATTTTTTAATATTTTATTTTTATTTTATGTGTATGTGTGTATTGTCTGCATGTAGGTAAGTGTACCCATGTCATGCAATACCTGTGAAGGACAGAAGAAGCTGTCGGATCCCCTGGAACTGGAGTTATGAACAGTTGTTAGCTGCCATGTGGGTGTTGGGATTTGAACCCAGGTCTTCTGCAAGAACAGCCAGGGTTCTTAATCGCTGAGCCATCTCTCCAGCCCCATATTTATTTATTTTTAAAGTAGCTTGTGATCTGTGAATTGGAGTAGCTCCTCACAGGGAAAAATTCTCTGCTTGTGTAATTGGGGGTGGGAGGTGTGTGCAGGCAGTTTCTCATAAAGAAGGAACCATCTGGTACATCCTCTAAGTCCCTTGCTGTGGATGTCAGCATTTTCAACATGTAAAGTCTCGTTTTGGCTAGGTGTTCTCTTAGCCTGTCATATCTGTCAGTAAATACTCTAAAACACAGTACCCAGGTTGGAGCCACAGCTGAAGACTTCTCCAATGTTGTTTCTTTGAATACTATCAGGAAGGAGGAACTCTGCTTCCAAATACTTCATCCACAATTTTTTTCAACATAGACTAAAGGAAAGGACATGACACACAGTTGATCAGCTCAGTAGATTTTTCTTCTACCATCCTGGAAACCACCTAATGGTCATGACAGAATTGAATAGGGGCTTCCTAAATTTGATGTGTCTGGGGTTAACAGTATTATCTGAACTTAACTTTGGCAGCCTCTTGGCTTTTTGAACTATGAATGGGCTTGTGATTCATGTGCCCTTCCTCAGGTGCAAGTAGATTTGTTCTTGGGTGTTGCACTGCTAATCTTTACCTTGATTTGTTAGAAGTCTCTTGGATTTATTGTATTGCCTTTGGAGTTTATGGGGGCTGGTTTGGGGGGATATGAAGGTATCAAACTAATTTGACCAAATTTGGCTTGTAACAAGAAGCTTTTCTCAAAAGTCTTGAAACAAGTGGGTTTGTTTTGTTTCTCAAGTTAACATTTTTTTCTCAGTGCTATTAGAGATAAGTCTGTGAACTCTTCATATTCAAGTCATCATTAAGAGTAGAAGATTTAAATAGTGTTAGAAGAGATTAATTTATTAATACTTTGAAGATATTATAGATAGGAAAAAAATCTCTACATCTCTTAGCTTTTTCTAAGCATTGTGGACCATTGCATGTTAGAGGTACGGTGTTGTCTCGGCATCCGCTTCGTGGAAGTGAATGTTGAGGGAAAAGAGATGCAGAGTGCTCTTTGCATACAGGGCACAGCCTTGAGAAAGGTGGTTCATTTGAAGGTGTTAGCAAGGCGGTCATGAGTACTTATATATTAGGTATTTAGAACTATCTACATTGTAAATCATTTTCATTTCCTTGAGTTCAGAGTTGAGATAGAAGTCCAAACATTTGATGAATACCATGTATGAATGTTAAGT